AGCTTGCTGTAGGTGACCCTGCTTCGGCAGGAGGGTTGGACTAGATGACCCACAGAGGTCCCTGCCAACCCCTACTATTCTGTGATTCTGTAATTCTCTAACGTCCAGGCTAACTGACACCCCCTGTGATCTCCATGACCTTTCTTCTCCAATGAAGCTGAGACATCTAAATCCCTTACATTAATGATAGTGGGAGTTCGATGCATAAACTCCTTTGAGAACCTGCATCTCCGTGAGCTTTAACAAGGCCTTTGAAATTAGAATCCCACAGTTCCCCTGTGCCCATGCTGGACTTGGTATTATGAACACTTTCCCTGCAGCCGGTCCAAATGGCTTAGACACTTGTCCCCTCAGCCTCCCAGGCTGTACTCACAAGCGCTTCTACGTAAATCTATCCAAGAGATCTTGACTCTGTCCTCTGACATTTTTTGATATAGTGAGCTTCAGTAACAGTGCAACACCAAACAAAGCAAATCTCCTACAGGGCCTCACATTTACTTGGGAAGCTTCACGTCTTTCATTTCCCTTTCTTTCTCATGTGCACTTTATTAGCACATTAATGAACTAATTCAAGACAATTAATATTGGAATAAGGGAACAAACACAACATAAGTACTGACAACTGCGAACAAAACCCTGATTCTCCTTACGTGTGGGGGTCCATCCGAATTGTGCAGGAAACACCAAGGTATACTGTATATGAAGAGGCAGGGAAGAAACGTTTCTGGCTCTTACAATAATCCTTTGTTTACTGAAATCCCAGCAAAACTAGTTTCAAGAAGCTTTATCTTAATCCTGATGCTATAGTCATAAAACACTATATGGTGAAGCACGAAAAGCCATCACTAACTTCAGTAGCTGTCTTGAAAACAGGGTGATAATACACATGCAGCTTTTTCCATGGCAGAAAGAATGGTATTTCCCCCTCCCAAGGACCCAGACTGCATACACATGGTTCTCCCATCAAGACAACCACGTTGCAGCGCTTCCTGGTGTTGTTCAGAGAAGTCAATATCTGTTTGTAACCCACCACAAAATAATCATATTTCTGCCACAGCAGAAATTCCTCTAGCTGATAACAACAGGTTTATAGTCCCCACAGGACGTAACTATAGGATCTGTCCTCTGCCTAGTAACCATGATCTCTTGATTTTGTCCAGGACAGCTCACAGACAAGGAAGCCCTATTCGTTTCAGCATGTACCCTTCCAGAGCGTTTTTTAAAATCTTATATAAACAGGTGGAGGGAATTGTGAATGTTACTTAACATAAGTACAGCAGAAGGATAATGAGAAAACTACGTACTAGAGAGCTCTAAGACTTCCCCACGAAAACCTGCTTTAGATCAAAGCTCTTTTGTTTATAACGGTACTATCTGCAGCAAGATGCACGCAGGATCTTTCCTTGTAATACAAGGCACTTCTAGAACAGGTGGAGTGGAAAGGACACAGGGTTTTCTGCAGAATCAGACAAAAGCTTTGAGGATCGATTCATAAAGATGAAAGGGCCAGGGAGCAGCATCGCTCCACCAGGGAAGCCCAGCTAGAAGCTGAGGACAACCTTGCAAAGGCAGACCAGGACTTGGCCAGCAAAGACACCACCCCACAGCAGAGCGCACAGAGCCGGCCTGGCGACAGCCACGGGACAAACTAGCAGACAAACGAGAGGTGACAAAGCAAGTCCAAGGTCTGTCTGGGAAGTCCACTCAACAGGTCTGGACAAGCTGAGCAGAGCGCAGCCCTTCCCAGAGAGTAGCTCTGAGCCTAAGTGAGGCTCCTGGAGCCCTGGGCAGGGAGCGCGGGCCGGAGTCCCATGCGAGACAGGTCCAGCTAATTCAGACCTACTGGTGCTCTCCGACTCTGGCAGTAGGGATTTAACAGATGTTTACACAGACTTCTGAAAGACATATAGAACCAGATTAAATAGAAAAGAGGTGAAGACATCACTCGTGCAGCTATCCTTCTGCAGCAGGACCACCACCCATCCCTGCAGCAGTCCCAGGACCAGCACGCTCCTCAGCATGGCACAGCCACACACGCTGGGATCAGTGTGCCTTCAGCCACCGGACCCATCCACAAGAGAACAGACCCATCCACAAGAGAACGGGATGGTCCTGCCCCGGGCACGACAACCACCAACAAGGTAGGACAGACATCTAGCAGAGAAGATTTAACACCCTCAGCTGTCCAGTCTTAACCCTCTGCCTCCTGTCTGCCAGAGCTACTCGGGAGCAGCTACAAGAGGTTGGAGCAGTCACCGGTGCCCTGGCTGCCCGCTGCCACCCCCTGAAGAGCCCCCTGCCCATGCCCAGCAGGCTGCAGAGCAGCCTGCGCGCGCGCTCCAGCGCAGAGCCCGGCACCCCGCACAGCTGCTGCCCAGGAGGCCAGCGGCAGCCTAGGCTCTGCACCGGGGACACTGGGTGCCTACACTGCTGAAGGTGTTCTGCCCTTCCACCTGCTATGTGTCTGAGACCTAGGAGCATTTTTAAATCAAAACCTGCATTTTATATTTAATTGATATTAATCAGTTTTTCCTTAGTGTCGCTTCAGTCTGGAATCCTCACTGCAAGAACACAAAACAGGCCAGGGGCACTGGCTGCTGTCAGTAGCTTCCAACCAGCTCCGTGGCCCCCCTGCTTTGTAGAGTTCTCAGGCTATTTTTAACAGCAATTTAAGAAATAAAAGCTATTTAAAACAAGCAGCACAAAGAGAAGTATCATTTGCTTCACGATTATTATGTGCATAGTAACGACAGGAAGGCTACCGCAACTGTTTTCCAACTCTTAAAAAAAAGAACGCTTCCTTTGCAATATATAATTTTGAATTTTAATTTAGATAACTCAGATTATTTACTGGCAACAAAAATATGCATATTCATGAGATCTGATTTACTATAATCTTTATTTCTGATGTTCTGCATCTGTGAATACTTGAAGTACTTGAGTTGGCATTCATGGGCAATTATACAGGAATCTCACAGAGTGGCAACAAACTGATTTATAGTTAAGAGTTTGTAGCACAGAAAGCCAACTCATTTTCATTCTGAAGGGCTCTGGCATGAGATTTGGGATTGATGCTTCCAGCCTCCTTTTTGAACAAATTACTCTTTCTTGCCTAATAGACATACAAATCAAGGTCATTATAATGAGGGTCAAAATAGTGATTTTTAGATGAATTCACTCTACCAAAAGTTCACAAAGGTCTGAGGAAAGAAGTTAAATAGACAGCAAGTGGAAACCTAAAAGTTCAGTTAGATTCTATGCAAGCAAGTGGTGCTTTAGAGGAGAAAGACACACGACATGGTCGTGCCACCTTCACACCCAAGGACTCCCTCCAGCTCCCTCGTGCCGACTCCCACCTGGCCTTCTCGAAATCCAAGCACTTACTATGAGAAACGCATGTTTCTCAAAAATCTCTGCATCTCTAACCACGCTCCTTTCTGGTTTTGCCTTTCTTGTCAATCACTCCAGCCTTCGGAAATACACAGACTCCTCTAATAAAACCAACCTTGGTGAATTTCCAAACACAAGTCACAGGGAAAACGAAACAAACACATAATAAATCAGCGAGAAGTACAATGGGAGAAAATAGCATGAATACAGTTTTTGATGCACACACTGAGTAAATCAGACGATAAAGCTCACTGATGCATGAAACCGTCCCTCTGTTTTACCCTCGCACTCCTTCAAACGAAGGAACACAACTGCAAAGGCTTCCCAGGAAAGCTGCTCCCTTATCGTCCTCTCCTTGCAGGACAATAGCCCAGTGAATACTGGTAGTAACAGCCATTAACACAGACAAGCGGGGGATGTGCAAAGTGTTTTTAAGATCGAGTTTGGATCGCCGTATTAAGAGCAACTCAGGCTAACGATTGCTTTGCCGAGCCTGGCTCTTGGGGAAAGCACACCCCACGTCCTTGCAGGATGTCGCTGATGTTTCTAGTAAAAAAAAAAACCCGCACATACAAACAAGTTTCACTAAACAAAAATCTCTCATAACTAATCTTTATTTTTCCACACAGCCTGGTTTAAAGCAAAAGCAATTCCACAGCATTACCCCAGGAAATATAAAGACACTGAAAGCAACTGCAGTTTCTCACACCTGCAAGGCAAAGGCCCACCTCCAAGAGCAAATCAACCATGCTGCTCGTTTCAGATAGAAGGAACCAGAAATTACACACACCAGATCACAGTCCGTCGTTGGCTGCAACTCTTAGACCTACCCTTGGCTAACAGAAGCACCCTGCTCTGAACAACTGCGGTGTTGTCTATCACATCTGTCCGCTGAACTGTCTCATGTGAGTAGATTACGCCTTCTTTTGTTACTGTTTTGCAAATATTATGCTAACTTTACCCCAGAGTGCTTTAAACTCATCTTGTCCTCTACTCCTGGCAGATGCGACCAGCTCTAATGTGATGAGTATTGTAAAGAAAACCTGTGCTGTAGAGGAGGGTAAAATACTGCCTGGAACAGGTGTAGGCTGTTTGCCATTTGCCACCACTTCAGGTGCACCTCACCCTCCCTCTATTTTTAAAGAAAAGCATAAAGCACTTGGGAAATAACGCTTACAGCGAATGCAAACCAAAAAACGTTCATAAGCAGCAGACACAAAGACAGAAAACCATCCTGTCTCAGAGGGCACAGGGTGACTTCTTTGACTTGGGAGTTCAGGCGCAGGCTGCCTAGAGGTAAAATACACCATTCAGCCTTCCTTTCAGGAAGATCTCTCAACAACAGAGAAGCCAATAGCCTCCACCGGAAAAAAGCATTCTTCTCAGGGTAGTTACCACCTAGGCTGCACTGAAATCCTGGACTTCCCGAGAGCATTTCCAAAAACCACAAAGCCCACCTGGATCTGAACTCTTTCAAGCCCTTCTGAAGTTCAGACATCTTCCTCCCACCTGCAAGCTGCACGTATCTTCAGTATCTTTACACTTAACAGTAAAAAAAGTTGAGGACTGTATTTCATCTCATTTATTAGCCACATATCAACATGTGTTTTTTTTGAGGAGTCAGAAGATCAACTGCAGCTAAGAGGTTTGCCTCCCTAGAAACCCTGCATTATAGAAAGCGTCAGTTCACTCCTTCGGAGAATGTTGAGCCTTTCAACCAACTCATAGTAATCATCACAACGGCTTGAAAGTTTTAGGCTGTAGTGGAAATAACACCCCAACAGTTTCAGGAAAGCGAGTGCTTAGGCACCTCTGACCCACTCAAAGACGCAGCATCCATTAGGTTTGCAAAATCCCTCCCCCAGCCATTTCCCAGGCTTCATGAGACTGGCGTTCCCTTCTGGTAAAATAACAGATACTGGAACATTTATTAAATAAATAAATGAAGCAGCCTGGGACCAGAAGCTCTCCGGAGCAAGCAACTCCCTTTACTTGCCTAAAGTCAGTTCAGAAGCAGAATAC